TTGGTAATTCAAACTATGTTGCATATCTCTAATTAACATTATTAAACTGTTTCTACACTAAGTTATATTTTGATCATTAGAATATTTCTGAATTAAATGAGATTTTAGCTATACAAATAGTAAAGAACATATTGAAATGAAAAATTATTACTACTTTACAATGATATTTTTAAATATTTTTACAAAAAATATCAAACGCTAAGCTTTCTTGTTTAAACTGTTTCCTTTCTCTTTTTGTTGTTTCTGCCATCTTGAATTGTCTTTCTACCCAAAATTTTTCTTATTTACATGTTATAATATATTGGACATATTGTCTTTTAGGGTTTTAAAATGAAGGCTTCTTTGTAGTTACTAAAGACACAAGGACCAGTTAAAGTAGTTTAGAAAACCAAAGCTCTGTTCTTGTTGCTTCTTGCAAGTACAGCTTCACATACTGACACTCATTAGTCAGTCAAAATGTGAGATTTGAGTATTTCCACCCCAACATTCTAAATTACTTTCACTAGCCCAGCCAGCATGGCTCAGTGGTTGAGCGTGGAACCATAAACCAGGAGATCAGGGTTTGATTCCCAGTCAGGGCACATGCCTAGGTTGTGGGCTGGATCTCCCGTATGGGGCAGGCAGAAAACAGCGGATCACTGATTCTCTCATCATTGATTTTCTGTCTCTCTCCCTCTCCCTTCCTTCTCTGAAATCAAGAGAATTATATTTTAAAAAATATATATTTCACTACATATGTTTCAAAGTGAGCCCTCAGTGCTGTTAAATGTTAAAATGGGATCTAATTGAGAAGCTGAAGTTAAAGTTGCCATTATTGGACTTTAATGGGCTTTGGAAATTCTTAGGACATCACTAATTATTCCACTAATATTTCTGCATCCATAGCATTCATTTGTGCAACAGAGGGGAAACAGTTATTTAGACTTTCAGAAAATTAATGGCTCACCTACTCCCCTGTACAATCGAGGCAATTATTTGGTGATTTCCTCTTAATGTTGGGCACCTGTGTGCATTGAAATTTTCAGATGAAGTCTTAGAAATATGTAAGTGGTTTCCTGTGTCTTAGCTTTCAGTTTAAAATATAATTACAGCAAAAATAATTATAATATTCATTTCTAACTTTTCTTCTTTTAAAATGACTGTAGACACACTTTCATGATTCTTCTCACCAAGGGAACCTCACAAAAGTCCATGAATCAAATATTTCAGGGTCAGCTCTTCCAGATAATAATGAGTATCAGGGACCCATTATACATTTTTTGTTATAGAGAGGGAATTGGAATAAGTAAAAAGACACTGATTCTTTATCCCAAATTCATTTCACGTGTTCATTATGGGTCTGTTTTAATTTTTAGGCATGAATTTAGGAGACATGAGGGGCCTAGGTGGAGACCTCTCTCTTGAAGAGGCACACTGAAACTTGGTCTTATCCACTTTTCATTCAGTTTTAGATGCACATCTTAGCCTCGGTAAAGCATGGCAAATAGGTAGCAGACAGACTGTCCCTAAGGTCAATAAAGATCAGTAAAGATCAGTAAGGTTCAGTAAACATTTACTTTGAAGCTATCAGCTCAGAAAATTGCTTCAAGCCACCACTATCTCAACACAGCCCTGATAATGCCCAAGGTCCATCGACCTCCTGCATTCTTTGGTGCACTCTTAAGATAGTATTGGGAAAGCTGTGGCTTCTCCCAGCAGAATGCAAGTAAAAATTTAAATTTAAAATTATTAAAAGTAGGAAACAAAGAGAGCTAATATACTCTGTGCTGAAACTCTCACTTTTTTCACATCTTCAACCAGATTTCAAATTGCACTCTTAATTTTGTTATCAGTATTTTTTGTGATTCATTATGTATTTAAAATATCATATATTGCAATTTATTTCATAAAAATAACATTTGCTTATTAACTGTATGATTGTAATCTACATAGGGAACATTAATCAGTCACATATTTTATCTAGGTTTTAGTCTTAAATTCATTGTCGGTTGAAAATTGAGTAGACTCAACATTAAGCTTGAAAATCCTCTAACTTGCTCATAAGTGTAGTACCTATTGAAACTTCTATTATTCACTGTTTAACTTACTTGTATTTCACTATTGGGATACTTGGGAAAGAACAGGGAGATTTGGAATAATGATAATAATCCTGACAATCATCCTCAATGAGCATTTTCTAAAATGAGATCTTGAGATTGCAAAGAGGATCAAGCTGATTCAAACAAATGGAAATTTAAAGTGGAGTCACTACTACCAACATACTGACAGTAGTTTTATATATTTTTTATAAAGGTCTAGTAAGCATAATTTTAAAAAAGTGTATCTCTGACAAATTGCTTCAAATATACTGTGAAAAATAATAAAAATGAAATATGTATTTTTAAGTTATAATTATTAATTCCATAACCATTAAATAATTATTTAATTAGCGCTAAATAATTATTTGTTTCAGGGAAAGTATGCTTTAAAAAAGCACTTTATTCCATAAGATAAAATATGGTGTCTTGTGGTAATCATAATTCAATAAATTAACAATACTGTCAGTTAAAATTACTTTTTTATTAAAATTGGAAGTTAATCAGTAAAAATTGTGCAAAGAAGCTTAATGTACCCACCATCACAATGCTAATATTGTGACCGCATTTTCTTATCTAAATGTGATTACGGGGTCTGGTTTTAAATATAAAGGTTTAGAATATCACAGTACAACACTGAGTAAAGGAAGTCAGACAGAAACTTTAACATCATCCTGTCAATATAAAGTTTAAATTTAGGCATAACTAATCAATGGCATTAGAAATCAAGATAGTGGTTTCCCCGAAGAGTTGGGTATAACTAGGAAATCATGAAGGGATGCTGACAATATATCTCATGGGTGTGTATATTTTGCAAAATTATATTTAGAAGTAAACTTAAGATTCATACATTATAGTATATCTGTGATACCTCAATAAAGTTTGCATTAACAGTAAAAAGTTTATTCCTGGGGAAAAGTCAGTGTTAATAATTAAAAGGTTATTATTCAACCAAATGCTTTATTGAGTTGGCATTGGTCTGAAATTTGCTCACAGTGTTAAAGAAATGTCTTTGATTAGTTGATCAAACTCTGATTTTTAACTTTTGTTAGGAATGTGCTTTTTTTTTTCTTTCTATGCTGTGCTTTGTTAAATGAATAAAATCTATGGGGTTCAAAGCTTAGAAAGAAAAACTTTGATAACTATTCTTTCTTTGTTCTTTTTCCCCCCTTTAAGTAATATTGTTGAAATATAATTACCATTCATCTAATGCCAAAATTAAGCTCTACCATTGTGTAATCCATACCAATCATTAAAGATAAGAGCTGGTGGTTAGAGCTCATTCTATTCTAAAGTTGAGAATTTTAACTTCTTAGAAAATTCAAGAAATATCTTATCCTGAAGTGAACTATCTGGGTTAAGTTACCTTATCTACCAGGTGGATAAAATTATCCTAAAATATTTTAATGGTTAAGCACATATATCAATTTTGAAGCCAGAGAGTCAAGTTCATACTATACCTTAATACACATTTATATAATTTATAGTATTGTCATTATATGCTAACTTTACCACTTACTATGCAGATTTTGAAAAATTAAACCAAGTAAAATGTCAGTTCTTTAATGAAAATAGCTGCACTTCAAGTGTTCAATAGTCAAATATTGAGCATATTTAGAGAATTTCCAGAAAGTTTTACTGGACAACGCTAATATATAAAAATGGAATAATACATTCCTCAGAGAGTTTATTAAATAAGATTATTTCTGTAGAATTCTTTTTTTTAATATATTTTATTGATTTTACACAGAGAGGAATTGAGAGGGACAGAGAGTTAGAAATGTGGATGAGAGAGAAACATTGACCAGCTGCCTCTTGCACACCCCCCACTGGAGATGTGCCTGCAACCAAGGTACATGCCCTTGACCGGAATCAAACCCAGGACCTTTCAGTCCGCAGGCCGACGCTCTATCCACTGAGCCAAACCGGTCCCGGCCATTCTGTAGAATTTTTAGCATTATGAAGGCAAATCATAAATGCTTGATCCATGATATTTATTAGTCATATCACTGATTAAAAACAATAAGCAAATAAAATAAAAACATAAAACTTATATGTCTAGAATCATGACTAACATATGTAGGTTTTTATAAATTCACTGAGACTCTGTTAATCATTCTGATTCCAAATAGTTTACTATAAAATAGTTCTCAAATTGGCATTCTGAAAAATTTCCCTGAAGTAGAATCCATAGACTAGCATAATATGTAATACTCATGCTTTATTAAACACACACACACACACACACACACACACACACACACACACTCTAAGCAACTATTTACCTTCTTAAAATTCTAAATGCTAAGAAACCTTAACTTATAGACTGTAAGTATCTACAATCCAGAAACAAATTTGGATAATCAGGGTATAGGATAAATAAAAAATAAGTTGGTTTAGTATTCTAACCCTTTATAATTATGATATGACATTAACTAATTAAAATCTCTTTAAGCAACTCTGAGCTTATGGGTTAAAAGCTCTGAACTTTGATTTGTTTTATTATCTGGATATATTTTAGTGCCTTTATTTTTTTCCCTTTAAAAAATAGGTTAAATAAAAAAAACACATGTCTATATGCAAGACAATGCTTAGGTAAACAATGAGTCTATCCTTAAACCAATTTGGATCTCAGCCCAGAGCTGAACCCATCTGACATACCAGTTAAAACACCTGATTCATCAACTGGGCTCTGTTAGTGTCTATGTCCTTTTATTCACAGTTCAGTAGTTATTATTTTAATGACAATTCTTGAGCCCTGTGGACACAAAGTCTGTCTAATATCATCCAGAAAAGTAGACTTTTAGGAGGGCTTTTTTGCATTATTGTTACACAAGGAACATCAATCTTATAAGCAGAAATAGCCCTTTAATAAAAGTCATTTTTCCGCCTGATTATTTATAAGTTGTGTTTTTCCCCTCCTAGGCTACTGATAAAGATACTGGCAATTATAGTGCCATGGCATACAGGCTCATCATCCCACCAATCAAAGAAGGAAAAGAAGGATTCGTGGTCGAAACATATACAGGGCTGATCAAAACAGCCATGCTCTTCCATAACATGAGGAGGTCCTACTTCATGTTTCAAGTCATCGCAACTGACGACTATGGGAAGGGACTGAGTGGCAAAGCAGATGTACTTGTAAGTAGAAAAGTCTTCAGATGCCAGACGAGTCTGGGGTCAACGTTTCCAACTGAACTTTTAAATTTATTTGAAATAGGCTTTCTAAAATATAAATGTGATTAATTTTACCCAGGATATTGATAGCTGTAGCTTAGTATATATATAAAAAAAAATGTATAGCTTTAAAGTTGTTGGCTTTTTTTTGACATTTGGGAAATATATTTTTATATATGCTTTTGGCAACAGTGTCATAAGCATTGGGTTTCTATTTGGTCTGCAAATTTTATTTTTAATACATATTAGGTTGGAGCTACTTAAATTTTAAAATGCTTTGCATAGTTGTGCTGTAGAAATTAAAATAATTTGTATTATTGTTTAAATTACTTTTAGGCCTTTATAATTAAGGGGGGGAAAGGAATGTTTGGAGCAAGTTCATGTTTCAATGTTTTTGTGTTTTTTTTTCTTGTTGTTCAAAGTACCATTGATGACATTGATGATTCTTGACTAAGTTACATTTGCTTTCAGTTAATGATATCACTTTATTCTGACTTTTTCTTTAGAATTTCAGTGGTAGGTTATTCCCAATGCTATTAGCATTTATTCAAAATATTTAACATCAGCCAAAACCAGTTTGGCTCAGTGGTAGAGCATTGGTCTGTGGACTGAAAGGTCCCAGGTTCAATTCCGGTCAAGGGCATGTACATTGGTTGCGGGCACATCCCCGGTAGGGGGTGTGCAGGAGGCGACTGGTCGATGTTTCTCTCTCATTGACGTTTCTAGCTCTCTATCCCTCTCTCTTCCTCTCTGTAAGAAATATCAATAAAATATATTTTAAAAAATTTAACATCAATGCATCCATACCATGGAATCTCTGATAAATCTAATATAAATTATAATTATTATTAGAAATATTTGTCCCTTAAAGATAGAATCAAGTATAATTCTTCTTGCCTCTTACATCTTATTAAATCTTATTTTTTTCACAGCTTTCCTCATTTAATTCTTTGGACAGGTTTAACCTTCATATTATGCAAACATCAGTGATCAAATATTTTTCTTATTAGATAAAGATTAATCATCATGTTTGTGATGGTTGCGAAGGCCACATCATTTTCATTTATAACAGTAAAGCTGCATAAAAAAACAAGAGCCAATTTAAGCAACGAAGCTTTTGACATAGAAGATATTAAGGTTGATATAGACTTTTGATCAAATTAATATCTGTAAACATTAGGTAAAATAATGCTTTTTTTCCTTCTATTAAGATCTGCACACTGTGGTACTTTAAGACTAAATGATAATTTAGTATGTTAAACATAATTAAAATATTATAAAAATATAACTTTATAGAATATATATAATATGTAAATAAGCAATATGAAGTTTATGGTATTTTTATTTGGACTCTATAAATTATTATGTGAAAATTATGAAGTATACTTTTAAAATAATTTAAACTATATTGAGAAAAATTAAATTCAAATAAACCATATATATTGTCTCCCAAAATAATATTTGTAAGATCTAAAATTATTTAAATTAAGAAAAGGGAGATATGGAAAGAGAGAAATGTTTTATAAAGAGAGAACAACAATGTACCAAAACCAAGAAGAAAGAGATATGATAACAGGTCTGAATAATGATAAACATTTACTCAGTCTAAAGAATAAGACTAGGAAAATGACTAAGTGAAAGGCTGAAGATGGAAGTAGTTGGTTCATATAAAAGCTGAAAGCAATATTAAAATTATTGGAACTCTTTCCTACAAGCAACAAGAGACCATTTTTTTAAAATTTAGTAAGGGTGAATGAAGATAAGATTTTAATTTAGATAAAACCTTGCTTCATGCAAATGTGATTCTTCCCTGAAGATGCACTTCTGCTGCCTTCCAAAATAATGGCTTTTGTGTTCTGTTCTACATATGTTTGCCACAGTCCTCATACTACCTACTGGCAAAGTAGAATTCTCAGTGCACCACATTGCTGCTTCTAGATCTTTCCTTCTTCCCAAGAATCTAACCTTGGTTCTCATCATCTGTCTCTGTCACTTTTTCACGGCCTCATATTATTGCTGCGATCACCCACATCATCGCTCAATCCCCACCATATTTCAATGAGGTTAGCTCCAGAGTTATCTCCAAGAATTCTGTCCTAATTTTTGGCGATTTTGCTATATGCATAGATGGATCTTCCAGTATCCTAAACTTAAAATTTCCCTGAATGGCTTTTCTCCAATGGCTTTAGCATCTACCCTATTATAATCACTTAACAACCAGAGTTATTTTAGCCATTACCAATTACTGCAACCTCTCTATAACCTCCATTTCAAACTTCCCACTCTCTGACAGTAATAATGAATGTGTTCAGCTAGCCCCAGCACTCTTGTGTCCTCACCAGGACCTTTCATTCATTTAGTTGCTATATTTTACCCTTTCTCTAACCCCCATGTGCTCTCTTTCCTGCTTACCAGTTTTGTAATGCATTATCAATTATTAAAAGCATTCCATCACATAAAAATTCAACTTCCTTGCCTTCTCTTCCTAAATCAAATACACTTAGCAAAACCATAACTGTACTTAATTGCAACTTCCTTCTTTCTCTCATGCTGAGTATGACTGCAAAAACATGTACAATTATATAATTAGTCTTTCTTTAAATTAATGTTAAAACCACCCAAGTGAGCTCTTATTTATTCAATAACCACACTCTATATTTCCTGGCTCATTCACACTCCTCTTTTAGAAGAACTTGTTTCTTACAATCCTCAATATCTTCTCCACATGCTAATTGCCTAATTAATTGGCAACATATTTTACTGAAAGATGACATTAAAGCATTTAGAAGGATACTTGGACAACTCCGATCACTAAATTTTCCTACCTACCAGGATTTATACTGACATTCTTTGCATTATTACTATTACTATTACTATTACTGTTACTGTTACTGTTACTGTTACTGTTACTGTTATGTTACTGTTACTGTTACTATTACTATTACTATTACTATTACTATTACTATTACTATTACTATTACTATTACTGTTACTATTATTACTATTACTAGATGGATTCTCTATGCATTTACCAGGAACCATTATCTTGACCTGTGCAACAGATTTAAATCTCACTCACCAGCTCTAGTACATTGTTTCAACAGCTCTCTCATTTTCTATATTCATCATTAATATCAATCCCCCCTTTATTTGATTACTAGATGTCTGGTGTCTGATATTTGTACACAGCCCAGCATGCACCCTCAGCCCAGCCTGCACCCTCTCCAATCTGGGACCCCTCGGGGGATGTCTGACTATTGATTTAGGCCCAATCTGCTGTCTTCCAAAATAATGGCAGTCAGACATTCCTCTCACAATCTGGGACCACTGGCTCTTAACTATCCCCCTGCCAACCTGATCTTCCCAAACTGCCTCTGCCTGTCTGATCACCCCTAACCACCTCTGCTTGCTGGTCTGATCACCCCCAAATGCCCCACCCCCCCCCCCGCTAGCCTGGTCACCCCTATCCTTTTTATGTTCAAAATAAAACCCCCTTAATCTACATCTCCTTTAAACTACCACTCATTTCTATTCATTGTTAGAGTTGACTAATTTCTCACCATCTAATCTCTTCCAAATTCTCTCTAATCATAATGTCAGTGCTAATACTCATCCAAACTTATTATGTCAACATCATCAATGGCTTCTTGTCACTAAATGGGCTGCTAATTTCAGTCTTCATCTTATTTGAAACATCAGCAGCACTTGGATTATTATTATATTTACTTGGATTTTGGGCCACCATGCTCTCTTTTTACTTCTGACCTTATTGTTTATTCCTTCTTGGTTCCTTTGCTGGTTCAGTTTATTTTCCTTACCCTTTTCCTATAGCTCAGACATTAAAATTAATTCCCTTTTCTACTTATACTCATTGATTTAGTCAATTCATTCAGACTCATAAGTTTAAAATATCATCTATAAACTAAAACATATTAAACTTATATCTTCATCCCAAAGCTCATTTCTAAAGAATGGACTCATATATCTATTTGTACTTGCAATAATTACAGATTAATATCTAATAAAGATATCTATGTAATGTTTCCTAAACTGAACTTCACTTCCTCATCACATTTCTTTCATTTATAGTCTTTCCAACTTCATTTGATGCCCAAATTATCTTTGAGTTCTTTTGACTAAAATTTCTTGACTCAATCCCTTAGTAAATACTGTTATTACTGTATATTATTAACTGCATATTTCTCAACATTTCTACTGTTTAAACTTCATTGAAACCACTATCATATTTTACCTATATCATTGCACAAACTCATTACTTTTCTCATGTTTTTATTCTTTCTGCACTACAGTCCAGTTTAATTATAACAGCAAGTGATTCAAATTTAATTCAGTTCCTGTTATTTCCTAGTTCAAAATATTTTAATATAATACCAATTTACTCAGAGAAATTTTCAAGTCATATATGAGACCCTTGATTATGGCCTCCAGTAACCTCATTTTCTACTCTTCTCTCTCTTAATAATTAAAACCCAATAATATTGCCCAAGTTGCTTTTGTTCAAACAGTCAGACATGCTCTTACTTAGAGATTTGGCAGTGGCTCTGCTTAGAATGTTTCTTCTCCAAATGTAGCATCATGATATATTTAGTATCAAAGAAGAACACACACATACCTCAAAAGGCTATTAAAATATCTTGTATTTTTTCAAGATAAGTGAGATTATATTACAAACCATGTAAGAGAGGCAGTGACCACTCCAAGCAAAAATTGGTAGGCCTCTAAATGTCCAATACGTTAGCTATTTGCCACATGTGACTTCTCAGCACTTGAAATGTAACTAGGTTGCATTAAGATATACTGCAGGTGTATAATACATGCTGAATTTAAAAGTCTTAGCATGAAAAAATATGAAATGTCTCCTTAGTAAGTTGTTTTATGCTAACTGCATATTAGAATGATAATATATTAAATACATTGTGTTAAATGTATTATTGAATTAATTTAACTATTTTTCCTCTTTGAGTGCCAGAAAATTTTAAATTACATATCTGGTATGTATTTGAGGCTCAAATTATATTTCTATTGGACAGTACTATCTAAAGTATATGAGAAAAATGGGTGAGGCAAGGAAAGATAAGAGGTTTGTGATGAAGAATTAAAATGACTTAGGAAATAATGTAATTTGACAATCTCTTGTTTTAGAATTCTAAGCTTCATAAATGTTACTTTCTCTTTCCTTTTTTTTTTTTTACCATACATAGTGACAAAAATAAATTTTCACAATAATAGGTATATTTTCTTTAAAATATTTTATTAGTAATCAACACACAAAGAATAAAATAATTTAATAAGCATAATTTTTATGGTTTTATATAATAAACTGACATGTATTTCTGATATTTGCATAGAAGCTATACTGGAAACAGTAACAAATAATACTCAGTAATGCTAAAGACTCAAATATCTCTTCTATAAATGATGGAAGAAGCCAAAGACTTAGGGATATAGGATTTTTATTTTTATTTTTTTGAAAATCAGAATTTAAACTATAATAACTTACTCTTCATTTACATAGCCCAACATATACTCATTCTATATAAACCATATATTAATACTTTTAAAATATTTAAAATTTTAAATGTAACTTTTAATAGGTAAGTCTGAAACAACTACTCTTGGAGTAAGACATTTTATCTGAATTATAAATTTTCTATCTTAAAAATAACAAAAGTATGTTTTCAAAGGTTATTAAGATCAGAAAATATTTTGGATAAATTGTAAGCTTAATATACATATATTCCAGAGGATCTGAAATCTTAATTTATTTGTTCATTCAGTCAGAATATAGCCCCTAAGCTCATTAACAAATTGAAAATTCCCTTTGAGTCAGTAATTTATCTTTCTGAGAAATTACTGACTGTCCTTAAAAGGCAAATAATAGAGTTACTTATATCTGCTAGGTGAAATTTTGCTTCCAAATAGGATCCTACCACATGAGGTGATTGCATTCCAAAAGTTTACTTGTAAGTAAACTTCAAAAGCTCAGAATATATAGAAGAGGAAATTCTAAAAATCTGATAGCCACATGTAATAGACACCTATATATTTGTCATGGTAGACTTACTGTGTAATAAAAAGCTCTAACATTTTCGAAATTTAAACAAACAAATGTGATTTTTCTCTCTTAGGACTGCAGTGAGAGTGTGTGTGGCTGAGTGTTCTCCACAGCTTTCCTACAAATGGAAACACAGGGACTCGGTTTCCTTCAACTTAAACTTGTCCTTTTCTATGACTTCTTTATTAGGACAGAAATTGAAAAAGAAGAAAAGACTCACACAGAAAATACTTAAGCAATTTCTTTCCTTTCACCAACTTTTATCTGTCAGAACCTCATATGGTTCCACCAAACTAGAAAGGAGGTTGAGGAATCTGTTCTTGTTGAGATAAAACTCCGTGGCCACTGTTTGTTCCAGGCCATTTGCTTGTTGTCACAATTTCTTTTCTATCTTTCTTTTTCTTTTTCTTTATCTTTTTTTTTTCTTTACATTGTCTGATCCAATATTATAAGAAAGGGGAGAAAAGATAAGGAAGGGAAGAAGATAAAGAGAGGGAGAGGAGAATGGACAGATTAAGGAAGGGAGAAAAGGAGAAAATAATTTTTAAAATATCATATACATTTTTCTAGAGATTTTTGCTACCAAAAACAAAAAAAACAACAACAAATAAACAAACAAATAAAACTAAAATACTTTTAGGTAATTTCTGTCTCTTTTTTCCACTCAGGACCAATTAGAAAAAAAAATTACACAAAAACTATGATAATCTATTTTCTAGTAAAATTAGATGAGTGTGTGTGTGTGTGTGTGTGAAGACATAATCAGGAAAATGTAAACATTGGTTCCAGAAATTTATAATGAGTTAAGGATTCAAGGTTGTAACTACCAATGTTCACTGCTTGCTCATAGCAGTGACAGATGCCTGGCTTAACATACAATGCAGAACACAAATTACTGGGCTTAAACAATGGTTTGCAATAGTGGTAATTAGTTGCATTATTTCACATAGAAGTTTGGATTTCTTTTCCCAAAACACTGAATCCTCCTGCCAATTTAGACCTGTTTTTCCATATGACGGTATCACTAGAGATGAGTTAGTAGTTGAACTATTCCGATGAGTTGTAGGCTCTGATTTGTCACATTTCCACTTCTCCCTATAATTTCATGCTTTTGGCTACTTCACTCATTTTGATTACCTATCTGGTCTTTGAAGACACTAAGTTTGTGGCTCCTGATAGGGCATCTAAAAGTAGACAACTTGGAGCCTGTATCTAAAATACTTGCAGCATGAAATTATTCCCTAGCATAAATTACTAGAGGCCTAGTGCATGGAATTTGTACACTGAGAGTGGTGGGGAGGAGGGAGTGGTCCTCAGCCCAGCCTGCACCCTCTCACAATCTGGGAGCTCTTGGGAGATGTCTGACTGATGGGAGGTGGGCCTACGCTGTCAGTTGAACATCCTTAGCACTGCAGAGGAGGCAGGAGTGGCTACCACTATGTTTGCTGGGCTCACCAGCCATGACTCTAACTCATGGCTTCTGGCTGAGCGGCAATCCCCCTGTGGGAGCAGGGGGCAGGGGGCAGCTCCTGCATTGAGCCTCTATTCCCTGGTGGACAGTGCACATCATAGGGACAGTCATAAGAACAGATAGTTCCTTCATTTGGTCAATTTGCATATTAGCCTTTTATTATATAGGATGATCAGATATATGATGCTAAATCTGCCTAATCCAATGTATTCAGTTTAGGATCCTAGTACATTACATACACATAATTCTAATAGTGTCTAACTTACATGCAAGACACTATGTAATTTGACTTTACATTTTTTATATCCATATTGGATAATAGTAAAGAGCACATGTTCTGGAGTCAGCCTGCACTAATCAATCCCAAGTTATTAAATGTTTCTTTGTTTCTTAGTTTTCTTATTTATAACTTAATAATAGTTATAACTATCTGATATGGTGGTTGTTAGAATTAAGTGAGTTAAAGCCTGTAGTGTATTGAGGGAAAAAGCAAATTGTTTGCTGTAAGCAGGTAATAAATGCTTTTATTTTTATTCCATTATTCTAAGTAAGAACAGGAAAAAAATGCTATTGATGTTAAATGAGAATGATAAACTCATCAACAACTGTTAAAATTAATTTTAGCCCCATCTGTAAGTTTACATGTATATTTGTCTTTATCTACACATAAAGTTGGCTAAAGCAGAAATAAAGACTATATATAATGATGCCTTCATCGATTTGGCTCAGTGGATAGAGCATCATCCTGAGGACTGAAGGGTCCCAGGTTCAAATCCGATCAAGGGCAGTTGCAGGCTCCATCCCTGACCTTAGCTAGTGTTTGTGTGGGAGGCAACCAGTCCATTGTCTCTCTCACATTGATGTTTATATCTTCTCCTCCCTTCCACTCACTCTAAAAGTAAACGGGAAAATATCCTTGGATGAGGATTGACAACAACAACAATAAAACTATATATGATGATTTTATTAAATGAATTACTCTCACTAACCATACCACAGATTCTTAAGTCACAATGACTAAATGATCTCTTGAGATTTATAAAATAGAGACTGTGTTTTCTTGTTTTTCTGAGTGCTATTCACCTACCTAATTAAAAAACAAACAAAAACGCCTTTCACGCCCTAGTAAATAATGAAGAAAGCCAACAAACACAAAATCAACAGCAGTGGAAGTCACTTAAAGTTCTCTGTAACTTCTAAGTAAACAACAAATGGTCTGCCATTCTGAACATGCCCCGGCATCTAATGAAAATCACATGACTAAAAATCGTTTATTCCTAAATTTAAAAATGAAAACCATTGTGTGAAAGTCATAGCAGAGAAGAAATAAATGGTCTAATTATAGAAATGTTAATGAGTAAAAGGCAAACAAATCTTGTTTTTTCTTCTTTCAGGTCTCTGTTGTCAATCAGCTGGACATGCAAGTCATTGTTTCCAATGTGCCACCGACTCTCGTGGAGAAAAAGATAGAAGAACTTACAGAGTAATGAATTTTTGTTTACTTATATATTTATTTTCATACAGCTATAATTTTTCATTGGACTAGGTCATTTTAATCATTATAATGTTCAGTTTAAACATATATTTTAACACACTGTCTTAATAATTTAGCTTCTGTTTTCCTGAAGTAAGTAGTTTTATTTGAAATATGTGGAGGTTCTAAGAGTGCTTTCAAATAGGACTGGAAATTAGATGTGAAAAGATATTAATTCAGGATGCCTTGATTAATGCATCAACATAACCTCAAATGCAGCATATAAGAAATAAATCATAACATTAATTATTTGAGTATATAGGATGTCCCAAAAAGTGTTTCCACACACTTTGAATAATTATAAAGGCAGTGTTTTTGAAATACACTCCATTTTCAAAATTGAGCTATTAGCTATTAAAGTGTATATACAATTTTTTGGCCCCAAATTATTCAGCCCAATATCTAATAAGCAATCCAGCTAGTCCAGGGAATGCTATTTCTCAGAGTGATATACCTAGATGGCTAAAGCTTTTTTTTTTTTTTTAATAAACCAATTTTAAATTATATATATATCAAACTATTCTAAAATATATGACATGCTCATCTGCCTTTGAACAGAGTATACTGAGTATGTTATTGTTTACTCAAAGTTGTGATTATTTATTAAACAACCTGCCTTTAATCTTCTGAGTGCTCTTAAGGATTATTAAACTGTCTTTACTCTTTTACTCTTAACTACCCTGACCTAACCTGCCACCATTTCATAATTTCTAAGTTGGTATTTATTTATTATTATGTCTTCTATTGAATTTTGTTGACACATGTCAATTATCACTGTTAATCTGCCCCTTTCTAGCAAAATATCTCCTACTTATAAAGCCCCAGGAGAAACTTCTGATAGTAGTAATTATGTGTCAAATAAAATACACTAGGCATTGATTAAGGCATCAGTGATCCCCTGATAATGAGGCATAGGTGTTTTGCAACAATTATTTGTTGATCTTTTATAAAACTGAACCATTGGATGTCATATGAATTTTCCTACAAATGAGGTGACTGTCAACATGTATGCATGGACTATTGATAATACAGTGTCTTATTTATCTCTGAAAGTGTTATATATGCTTAACTTAAATCAAAATAATAGCTGATTACACCTGAAAACTTTAGGATTATACCTGTCTTTTAGCTGCTTTAATGTCATCTATTGGGGTACGCTTTCTCTGATTACATTGTCCAAAAAAGATGGCATTCTCTTCCACCTCTAACCCAGTGATTTTCAACTGGTGTGCCACAAAAATTTTAAAAACATGTAATACCTGACTGTATTGTCAGGGCATTGACCTCTTTTCCCAAATAAAAAAATGACAACAGCCAACACAGCAGTAGCCATCTGTTGTAAATGAATCAAAATTATACTTTTTTTTTTTTGTCAGATAGGCAAAAAATATAGCATATTTTTTGGAGTGCCACAGAATTTTAGTAATTAGTTTATGTGTGCCATGAGATGAATAAGGTTTAAAATTGCTTCTCTAACCCTTTTTTTTTTCTTTTTATTCAGAATATTATGTAATATTTTTATTATATGTCAGTTTCCCACTGGGATATAAATTCCATGAGAATAGAAAAATCTGTTTTTCACTGCTATAATTTCAATTATATAGCAAGTACTTAATGCATTTTACAGTTATAAATTTTGTAAAACCAAAATAATAATGTGCCTTTCATCATATTGAGACAATTTATGAAAACTGAAAAAAAAATGGCAGATAAAAGTATCATTTCATAGCAATTTATATGATTTATTCCTTTTAAGTGGATATGAAGATATGAATGAGAAAAATCGGGCAACTTTCAAGTCTTGAGAGAACTGTATCACTATAAAAGGAGCTGTGACTTTGTATAACAGGTTTTGAATTTAACATTGAGCATATAATTGAATCTTTCCCAGACTCAGTTTCACTATCCTATATAACACATGTGTCAAACACAAGGCCCGCGGGCCAAATCCGTCCCGCCAGGCCTTGCAATGTGGCCCGCACCGCGCTGTCATCACTGCACTCCGCTGCGTTTCCATCACAATGACAGTTTATGACTGTTCAGTAAACCATTCGGCCCGCAATTTAGGCTGGATTTTAGATTTTGGCCCCTTCTCTGATTGAGTTCGACACCCCTACTATATAATAAAGAGCTAATATGCTAATTAGAATGAACAGCAGAATGACCTCCGGATGACCTTCTGGATGAAGCCAGGGCTGTGAGGACCAGCAGTGGCTGCAGGGGCCAGCGAGGCTGTTAGTGCCAACCCCATTGTGTAAATTTCATGCATCGGATCTCTAGTTGTTTGATAGGAGCTAATAAAACTTATATCAAAGAACTGTGACAAGAACTAAATGATATAAGCCATCTCAGACAATGGAAATCATGAACATTTAATGAATAATAGGTGTACAGAAATGAGGTTAGTAGCCCAAAGACTGTAGGATAGGATAAGACAGAGGCCAGAGTTTGGACTTTCTACTCAAAGAGCAGGTAGTGTTGTAATGGAGCTCAGATTACAGACTCAGACAAGTTTGAATCCTCCTATAGTTGTGTGATTTCTGAGCAAGATATTCAACACGTAAGACCATGCTTCCGCATTTTGTATTTTGAAATAAGGATGTCAACTTTGTGTTACTTTTGATAAAATGAAATGTAAATTTTCTGGTGTAGTAAGTCATAGCAGGCATATGACTGATTTCTTTCAATACATTTTTCAAAGCCTGTATTACATTAGAGATTCCCAAGCTCAAAAATTTCTCATCTCTTTTAAAAAAAAAATGCACTTTTTAAAAAAACAGTTTTATAGTGGCAACAAATTTGATGAAAAGATTCAAAGAATTCCTGTATGCTTTCTTTCTCCATGGATTCCTATAGATTCCCTACATCTTTTACCAAAGTGATTACAGTTGAAGCTACACTGACCCATTATTATCACTCCAAGTTCATACTTTACATTAGAGTTCACTCTTGATGTTGTACATTCTGTGAGTTTGTTTGGCCTAATATATAATGCCATGTACCCATATGCAATAATAATAAAAATATATGTTCATTAGACTGAAAAGCCGAATGACCTTCTGGACGTCATTATGGATGAAGCCACTGTGGCAGGGGCCAAGGCAGAGGTGGTTAGGCGCAATTGGGAAGGCAAGCGAATGGTTAGGGGTAATCAGGCAGGCAGGTGAGTGGTTAGGAGCCAGCAGTCCCAGATTGCGAGGGGGTCTCGGATTATAAGAGGGTGCAGGCAAGGCTGAGGGACCCCCTATCCCCCATGCACAGATTTTGTGTACCAAACCTCTAGTTATAGTATCATCCAATGTAGTTTCACTGCCCTAAAAATCTTCTTTGCTCCCCACTAACCTCTGATCTTTTTACTGTCTTCACAATGTGACCTTTTCCAATTTGTTCATTAAAAATAAGAATTTATTGTTCCAGTGATAGGACTAATCAGCACATTCATTTCCTGTAGACATTTTTAGATGACAAGTCACAATATCATCAAAGCCATTTTTTATATTTCCCATGAGATATTTCTGTCCTATGAAGTGGAAAACTAGAATTCCATTTGGTCATCACTTTTGTATTTTTTTTTTTCTTAGGAAGACTCTTTTATGAGACCAAATAATAATCCAAAGTTTCCTTGGTAAGCATGAAACCAGTACAATCTGGGAGAGTTGATAAAAGGAAAACATAATTACCTAATATATTCATATGATGGTGGAAAATTATTTGCAAAGGGAGTCAGTATCGTTTGATGGCTAAGAGCTCAGAGCCTAGAAAGGAGGATTCTCACAGTAAATGTTAGCTGCTACAGTGATGCTAATGATTACTCTCCACTCCCTTAGAATTGGCTTCAAGGGCTCTCCCGATTTTTTTTTTTATTACTTTTTGGTATTTTAAGCTTATAGAATTAACCAATACTCCTTTGTAATGAAACTCACTCCTTTTTAATCGTATTAACATATTCCAGCTAACCCAATGCCCCCTACAGATGGCCTTGCACCTCTATGTTCTGAAGTATTTTAGTTTTACCTTAGGATTTATCTCTTTGTGAGTCTGTCTCTCTTACAAATTCTTGAAATTAAGGAGCAGGAGAAATAGCTGTAAGTGACACTTGATAATGTAACCAACAAATGATTGGCAATAGTGTCTAAAGAAAAAGCTAAGAAATATTTACCTTTTGTCTTCTTCCTTTCTCCTTCCACTTTACCATGAAGTTCAAATGAGTAAAAGAAGTTTGGGATGCTAAAATTTAAATTCTTAAGAAACAGCAGAAGTGGAATTTTCAAAATGTATAAATTAAAGATTTTGGAAATATTGTGTTACTATATGAATTGTAATTGATAATTTAGGTCTCAGAGTTGCTCAAACACTACTCTTACTTTCTAAATACAATATGAAAAATCAATGATAGAGAGCTTCATTGCTGTAGTTAATGCTTTGATGTGGAAGAATCTATCTTGATGAAATATTTATATTACATCTGAAATGTGTCTGAAATTTTAGCTCCTGGTATAACAAATCATACTTCAGAAATCTAGTTGAGATATGTATTTCTAGGATGAGAATTAGAAAGTCTCTTGGAAAAAGAACCAATGAAATAGTAAACAATAGATGCTAGCACTTATATTCTTTATTAACAATGTTGTCTTAGACATTTTTCACATAGAGATAATGTTCTGGCTTACATTTTAAAAAGTTGTTGAGTTGGAGATTAGGTGACAAATTATAAGTATATAGCAATAGTCCAGGAGAGAAATCACTGTGGCTTGGACTGGTGGTAGGGATGGAGATAGGGAGGAGTTATAATCCTAAATAACAAAACCCAAATGTGCAAATCAACCCAACACTGGAACGACCGGTCGAGATGATATGCAATGACCACCAGGGGGCAGACACTCAATGCAGAAGTTGCTCCCTAATGGGTCAGTGCATTTCCACAAGGGAAGTGCTACTCAGCCTGAAGG